ACACACACACACACACACGGTGGGAAGAGGAGACAAGCTTCCCCTGGAGCGTGGAAAGTACTGGTGGGTGAGCTTCTGTTGTCTTCTCAGGGAGGTCTGGGTAGCACATACAACTGGCACGTTCACTTCCAAATATTCTTGCTTTAATATGTTTGGCTTTGCCATTTTTTCTGGGGGTGGGAAAGCCATTATTTCAGCAGATGGGCATTCTGGAATTCCAGTAGCAGCAGCATTAAGGGAAACTCCCTGAGTATTAGCAAACAAGCAGAGTCTCTCATGGGCCCTGTCTTCATGTACCAGGCCTTTTCTTTTTGAGCTACCAGCCAGCTCCCAAATCATGACACATTCTTATTAGTTATGAATGCTTGGCCTAGCTTAGGCTCATTTCTGGCTAGCTCTTTTAACTTAAATTAACATGTTTCTCTTTATCTTCCCTTTGCCTTGAGGCTTTTTTTTTTTAACCTTTTCTTGCTTTCTATATATCTTACTTTCACTCTTTCTCATGTCTGCGGACAGATGCTTGCTTCTGACCCCAGGAGTATTCCTCTCCTTCTCCTTGTTATCTTCTGTTTTCTCTTGTTCCTCTCTTGAGCCTAGATTTCTCTTCCTATTTCTCTCTGCCTGTCAGCCCCCACCCTATTCTTTCTCTGCCTAGCTATTGGCTGTTCACCTTTTTATTAGACCAATCAGGTGCCTTAGGCAGGCAAGGTAAAACAAATGCAAAACATCTTTACATAATCAAACACGCATCCTTACATCACTAAACAAATGTAACACATCCTTACATAGTTAAATAATATTCCACAACATCTTCATCTGTCACTTGTAAATGTCTCTGAAGCTTTTAGGAAACTACCATCAGTGATGTGTTGGGTATGAGAGAGTAGCAGTCTTGCTTTTCTGTGGCTATGATAAAATATGTGACAAAGGCAACTTAAGTGAGAAAGGGTTTATTCTGGGCTCACAGTCCACTGTGGAGCTTGAAGCAGCTGATCACATTGCATCCATAACCAGGAAGCAGAGAGCCATAAATGCATCCAGCAGCTCAGCTCACTTTCTTTACTTACATAGTTCAGGATTCAAGCCAGGGAATGGTGGTGTCCTCAATTGGTCTCCCATCACTATCAGCACAATCAAAATGATCCACCATAGGCATGCCCGGAGTCCCATCACCCAGTTGATTCCAGATGCTGTCAAGCTAATAATTACCAGCAACCATATAGCTAAAACCACACCTAGAAATATTTGTGCATTGTTTCTTTGGCTTGGTATGCCTATCTCAGAGTGTCAATGGCCCACATAAACTGTTCCGGGCAGATATACACTGCCCCTCTATGAATGTACCAGCTTTCCCAGGCTGCTCTCCACCTCTGCAGTGTCATAGGCCTTTAAGTGACACTGGCCATGAGTCCGGCAGGAGTGGAAAGCAAGTAAATGATTCCCAGTAACTGTCTATTTTAGCACTCTGTTTCTTAACTAATAAGCCATTTTTGTAAACATTCAGATTTCCTTCTGTGTTTCTCCAGGGAGGCTGTTGCCCACCATAGACACAACTATAAGATTTGCAGATCCTAGACAGCCCCCACCTCCAACAATCCAAGAAAGAAGATTCGTGATCTGAGATTGGTTTGCTTATAACTCTTTTGGCTCATAGACCAGGTACAGCAATGCAGCTGTCTCTTAAATATCACCATGGAGGACTTAGAGACAGGCTCAGGAGTTAAGAGCACTGGATTCTCTTGCAGAGGATACAGGTCCAGTTCCCAGCACCCATGTCAGATGGCTCACAACTGCCTGCAATTTCAGCTCCAGGAGATCCTTTACCCTCTTCTGGCCTCATAGGCACCTGCTCTCATGCGCATGTATCCACACACAGACACATAATTTAAAAAATAATAGTATAAATCTTAAAAATGCCATCATTGAACACAAAATATTTTCTCAAGAGCCTAAGTGATTTACAAAATCTTCAAACTGTGTAGGTGTGCTCCAGCCATCCCTGTTGGTTCTTGCTCTCGTAAATCCATGAGTGAGATCACCACGAAGCTGTGAATAGCATACACACAGGCAGACACTACGCAAAGTGGATTCCTTCACAAGCTGTGGGCAAGCAAAGTTTTCCTACCAGAACTTCCATCCCAAAAGCACACAGATCTCCAAGATCCAGGATTGTTTTCCTCAGTCACCACAATGTCTTACCATCACTTTCTGGTCAGTTATCCACAACTGATATAACACAACTTGTCTGACTGGGACCAGGCATGTATGTTAGCATTAGACTTTCAAAATCACCTTGTTTTGGGGGCCACCTTGTGTGTGTGTGTGTGTGTGTGTGTGTGTGTGTGTGTGTGTCTTAGAGACCAGTTTTTCAATACTTTGGAGCTGAAGTTACAGACGTATGTGGACCACACAACATGGGTGCTGGAACTTGAAATCACAGAGCAGCAAACTCCTCTTACTGCCAAGCTGTTTCTCCAGCCTCTTCTTGCAATGTTTTATAAGACAGCTTCTCTCAACTGGGTGTTGAACCTTTGATCCCAGCTTTGGGGAGACAGAGGCAAATGGATCTCTATAAGACACCGGCCTGATCTACAAGGTAAGTCCCAGGCCAGCCAGGGCTACACAGTGAGACCTTGTGTTGGGACTGGAGAGATGGCTTAGCAACTAGGAGCATGTGTTGTGCTTGCACAGGACCCGAGGTCAATTCCCAGCACCCACGTTAGGAAGCTGGCACTGTAGTTCCAGGGCATCTGATATCCTCTTCTGGTCTTCCCTGGCACTGCACTCATGTGCATCTCCCCACATAAAGAACTAATTAAAAAATAAAAAGTAAAAACACCCAACAGATTCTGTAATACAGGTGCATCTCTCCAAAAGGATATTCACATTTTTCTCTCAAGATTTTATGGAACTGTAAGCTTGAGTGTCCCTAGTTTATTTGAAGAAGAAAAACCCTGGAGACCCGGCATTGGTGGTTCCTGTAATGTACATATCTTTCCTTGTCTGTCCTTGGATTCCACATGCGTGCCTGGCCATTCTGTTTCTGGTGCAAACCATGGCATGGCAAACTACAAGGAACTGGGTCTGTTATTGTTTTGGTACCCACACTGGCCTTGAACTCACTGTGTAGCTAGATACAATGTTGAATTTTCATCCTTTTGAATCCTGAACCTCCTGTCTCTACCTCCTAAATACTGGGATTATAGCATGTCCCATTATGCCCAGCCTGACTTGTCTAGTCTTTTCAATAAACTTTCTGTGCATACACAGTTGATATTGCCGGTCGAAGAGCAAGAGCCAGCCCAGGTCATGCTGATGATCTGCAGAGCTAGGATTTAAAACATCTGTGCCTAGCATCTGGGACTCATTCTTGTCCCATCATGGTCCTACCATTCTTCTATCTGGGCCACAAAGAAGCCATTCCTCCCTTTTGGTTCTGTCTAATCCAGACCCTTAAAGCTAAAGGTTGGTTTTGAACTATTCTCTCTGGCAGCCTCTCTGTAAGGACAGAAGCCAGTTTGTTCTGGGAACACTGCTCTGGGGAGCTGAGGAGCCAGGAAGCTGGCTGGAGCAGGAGAAGCTGGAGAGGGTAACAGTGCTGGCCAGGTCTTTCCAAACAGCACCTTGTCCAAGTGGGCCCCATCCCAGGAGCATGGTTCAGAAACTCAGCATCTATATGCACAGCCAGCCCTGGCCTGCCTCATGGCTGACATCCCAGTTGAATCACTGACCACCCACGACATCTTACCTACCAATTCCTGATCCAGGAGTCAGCCCTGGCTCTCTCACAGGCCCTCTTACTCCAGTCCTGTCCTATGCTTATTGAGCATCATTTCCTGAACCAGGCATGGTGACCAACAGCTATGTAATCATCCCCAAAGCCAGTGAGGAAGATGCAATGAGGCCCAGTTCACAGATGTGACTCACAGGAGGGTATTTACTGAACATCTCGGAGTGGGCGACTGGCCGAGTCTGTAAGGATACAGATCCCCTCCTTCCATCATGTGGATCCCATAAACTCCCCACCAAAGACCCCAAAGAGCTCAGTTCCTTTGGTTTTGGTCTGATTTCCTATCTCTTCTTCTTTTTTAAAATTTGTTTTATTTCTGTGTACTGGTGTTTTGCTTGCATATATGTCTGTATGAGGGTGTTGGGTACCTAGAACTGGAGTTACAGACAGTTGTGAGCTGCCATGTGGGTGCTGGGAATTAAACCCAGATCCTCTGGAAGAACATGCAGTGCTCTTAACCGCTGAGCCATCTCTGGAGGCCCTTATCTCTTCTTTTCTCACCCCCACATCTCTCCTTCCATACATCTAATCACTCCCACTAGGTAGGGTCTCACTGTGCAGTCCAGGAGTGCTGGAAAACAATGTAACTCAGGATGACTTTGAACCCATGGCAATCTTCCTGCCCCAAGCCCTCAGATATTAGGATTGCAGACATGATTCATCATTACTGTGATGGGGGAAGTGCTTCTGTGTATGTGTTTGTCTTATTGGATGGTAAATAAAGTACTGTTTGGCCAATGAAGCAGCAAGTTAGGCGGGACTAGGAGTCAAGGAGGATTCTGGGAAATGTAGTAAAGAAGTGGTGATCCACAGGAAGTGACATGGCAGGGAGACTCATATATAAACAAGGGCAAGAAGGAAGTGGGCGCCTTCTCTCTTCCTCCAGAGTCACCATGTGATCCCTCAATGAGGACACCAATGGAAGGCATCATAAATAAGATAAGTCATATAAAATATATAGATTTATGATAATTAAGACTGAGCTAACAGATGAGAAATCCTAGTCATTGGCCAAGCAGCATTTGTACCTAGTGTCTCTGTGTATCATTTGAGGCCCTAATGCAGTGAGCAGAACTCAAGAGGGTAGTGGAAAGATTTATTGTAACATTACTGATTTTCTTTTTTTTTTTAAATTTATGTGTAAAAGTCTTTTGTCCGCACGTATGTATGTGCATCACCTGCATACCTGGTGTCCAGGAAGGTCAGAAGAGGGCAACCAATTCCCTGGGGTTGGAGTTACAGATAGTTATGAGCAGCCTCGTGGGTGCTGGGAATTAAACCTAGGTCCTTTGCAAGAACACAAAGTATTTGTAACCACTGAGCAATCTCTCCAGCAGCCCCCTCCCATTTCCTTTGTATTGTTAAGAGGAGTTTCATAAGAGAAACTCAGAAGACAAGGGTGTGTGTGTGTGTGTGTGTGTTTGTGTGTGTGTGTGTGTGTGTGTGTGTGTGTGTGTGGTGTGTGTTTCCATTTTCTGTATTTGTGACAACATGCCTAATGCTGGCTATTTTATAAGCTCATAATTTTGGATGTTGAAAATCCAAGACCTAACAACTATGCCTCTGGTGTCACAATGTAGTGGCATCTTGGCTTATAAAACTGAGAGATCTTACAGTTAAACAAAAGCCAAAGAGCAAGGAGAGATAAAGTTTTTCTTGTGGCTGAAGCCTACCTGCCTGGAGCTTGCCTGGACTGGATCAATGGTTCTGCCATCTAAAGAGATTCATTTGGCTTCAACCCCCAATTGTGTGTTTACTCTTCATGTCCCAGTCTAAAACTAGGGGGACAGCACCTATGTCAGAGGATTGGCACGATCATGAAGGACCTCTACGGTGCTTGCCTTTATTGCATTGTCCTGGCATCACAGTTGTATTTACTGTTAGCGGATCATGAATCCCTGGAGGGCAAAGCCCTTGTTTTACCACATACAGCAGTAACCACTATATTAATGCTTATGAGAGTAAATGTGAAGTCCATTCTGACCCCTTCACTCTGGTGAGATGCTCAGATAGCGTCTGTGTCACCCCAATTCTTCGTGCTCTGCCTTTGCCATTTCTTTACATAACACCAGTGGTTTCCCGCCTCCCAAAATAGACTAATTCAATTATTCTGTATTTATCAGTTAGAACCAATGGAATGAAAATAAGCTGCCATAGCACAAAACCCCCAGATGTTTGGGGTTAGTTTTCTAACACAGTGTTCAACTATTTTACTTATTTAATGTTTTTTTTTCTTAAGAAACAAAACAAAACCAGTCTGCCCTGGGATTTGGAAATAGGATCCGATTCTCTTGGAGCCTCCCGCTCACTGCTGGGAGCCGTGTGGGCATGAGGGACAGACAGGTAATGGGAAACAGCTGCTTGGCCCATGTCGACTCCCAAGCCCCAAATTGGTGATGAGGTGCCGAAGACAAAGGACAGGCAGTGATGGCTTGGCTGGGGGGTTCTGTGATCAACAGTTAAACTCTGATGGAGTGAAGCAGAGTCTGCCTGCCTGGGCAGCCTCTGGTATTAGCAGCAGTAAGTACATACCCAGAGAGATGAGCCTGACAGGCCCAGCCTGGCCTCCATGCCTCTGATGCTGGGAGAACATCCCTAGCAGGCACTGATGCTCTGGACCGCTCATCCCAAGGTCCTGTCCTGCAGTGACCTGCTCACTCCCCTCCATGATGCTGCAATATGACATGACCCCAAACAGCAGGCACAGCCAACTTTGGAAGACACCATTTAGATTAGGAACCAAGAATTTCTTATGAAGGGCCAGGAAGTAGGAAAAGAATTGACGCTGCACAGAGAAGGTGGGTTTTGGTGTTAGTGCTCAATGGTGCTCTTATGGTTATGTAAGCAGCCATAGATAACATGTAAACGACTGGGCACATCTATTTACAGAAGCGTGTGGTGCTGGATAGGGTCCACGACATTTATTTTGTTGGGCTTCTTGCTTCCTCATTGGCCTCTCTGCTCAAACCCCATGTGGTTTCTCACTCCCTCAGTATGAAACCCAACTCCTGAGTGTGGACAGGATGACCTGTAGGGCTGACTTTGCTTGCCCCTCTACCGTTGTTTAGGGATCCCTAGCCCCATGCCCAACCCATTCCTTCCCCAAGTCCTGTGCGCAGCTGCTTCCTTAAGTACAGAAGGCCCCTGGTCCCTACTTCCCCTTTCATATGCTTCATATATCCCCACTCAGCACAAACGCCATTTCCTCAGAAAGACCCTTCCTCCAACACATTAGAACAAGTGACCATCCCCCACGTCCTGGTCAGGAGTTACCACGGCACCCAGTTTTATTTTCTGCATGGCACTTACCACTGCAGGGAAAGATCTTCCCGTGGTTCTGTTTATATTCTTCACCCCCATCAGCTCCAGGAGGACAGCAGCAGACTCTGTCTCTGGTGCCTCTGGCCCACACAGTTGGGGTACAGGAAGTATGTGAGAGTGACCCGCTATCTCCCTTGGCCTGTCAGTCTCTCTGTTCTCTCAACCACGTTGCTGATAGAGCGTCTTTCAAAAATGAAGACCCCGACCTCAGCCCATTTCTACACTGAGTACTCTTAGACTAACATTCAGACTCCCACCATTGCCCCAGAGATGCTGTAAAGAGGACCCCCTGCCTCCTGTCTGCAGACCATAATCCCTTCCTGAAGAGGAGGATGCCTGTATGTCTACTGGTGTGGCCCCAAAGGACACCTCTTGGCAATGGATGTGTTATTGCATTGATAACAGACAACGGGTGATGTTCCAGGAAATTCTCTTCGAACAAAAGAATTGGGGCTGCAGACACCTGACGCATGAGTGTCTGGGAAGGTATCCAGTTTCCTCATATCACCCCACCCAGGTCAGGCTCTCTCGTGTGACATAGTCAGGGTAGAAATAGAGAACTTGATTGTTGCACATTGATGTCAAAGACCAACCGGGCTGGAGCTGCACCGATTGTTAGAGTCACAGGGCTGAGAGCTTCTGTGCTTTCTGACCTGAAACCACTGCAAACAAAGGAGGAGAAGATACAAACACAGGGCTGTCAGCAGTGTAAGTTGTTAGAGTCAGGGGCTCCTTGTATTCTGTGTGCCATCGACTGCTTTCTCCAAGATTGAAAAGACACTTACCGTCCTAACACAGAGCTGGGGCGGTTCTGACAATTCACATGAGTCTGACATGCATATTGCTTGAGCTATATAAAGAAGAAAAATTTAAAAGTGGCTATCTTTTGTCTTCATCTCAAAGAAGGCTCAGGAACTGACATCCAGGTGGTTAAAAGCATTACCACACTTCTAAATGACATGATATAAAGTGTGTGTTTGAGATTGCAAGAGAATCCATTTTCTCCCATGGGCATTAACAAAAATATTTCAATCTAGGTGGAAGGGAACATGGTCCATCAGAATTTCTTTTCTTTCTTTTTTTTTTTAAAAAAAACTTGTCTAATATAAAATGCTAACTGCTAAGGCAGGTGTGGTGGTGCCCACCTTTAATCCCAGAACTTGGGAGGCCAAGTCAGGCAGATCTCTACATAATTCCAGGACAGCCAGGACTACATAATGAGACCCCATCTAAAAAAAAACCCAAAGCAAAGCAAAAACAAAAATCCAACAACAGCAATAAGCTATCTGCTGCTCTGCCTTGTGGTGTTGACAGCAAGCACAGCACATGTACCCCACTTCTGGTCATTTTTCCCTCTTTGAGACAGGGTTTTGCTGTGTAGCCTAGGCTAGCCTTGAATGCAGGCAGCTCCTGCCTCCCAAGTGCCAGGATTATAGAAGTCTGCCATCAAACCCAGAAATCTGATCATGTTTAAAGCCAGGTATAGGAACAAGACAACATACCCTTTCAGACTTACAAAAGAGGATGTTTGGGTGCCAAGTGTCCTCTGATTCTGGTCGATCTTGACTTGTTTGTGCTTTAGCTCCTTCTGCTCTTACCTCTCTGAATTTCTCCATCTCTCTGATTATCTTTGGTTCCAATTACTCCCTGACACTCACATCCCTGCCCTCCCTCTAAGGCAGTGGTTCTCAACCTTCCTAGCCCTGCAGCTCTTTTGTACAATTCCTCATGCTGTGGTGACTCCCTATCATAAAATTATTTTCCTTGCTACGTCATAACTATATGTTATGAATCGTAGTGCAAATATCTGTGTTTTCTGATAGTCTTAGGTAACCCCTGTGAAAGGGTCACTTGCTCTCTTTTGCTATTTCCCGTGATCCTACTGATGTTCAAGCAGAGATCAACCCTGACCTTTGTCCCCCTCAAGTAAGGAGCAAACACCAGTGCCAGATTACAATGGCACTGGAAAGATTGGGGACATGGTCTCTTCTCTGGCATATGCAGCTTTTTCCACAGCCTCTCAACCATCACTCACTGCCTTTCCCAAAGTACTTCCAAGGGCAGGAAACTCCCAACTTCTCAGGACTGTCCTTTCTGTTTTTGTTTTCATTTTTTCTGACAACTTTATCAGAAAGCACAAGTTGTCAACAAGCCCAAGAGCCCTGCAGTCTTCTGTTTCCTTCAGAGTGCTGATGTATGGCATAAACTCCAAGGCAGCTGTCACCACGCCCTCTCCCTGTCACTTGCCCAGAGCAGAGCCTCAGCCCTCAACAGAAATTAATCTCTTCCACTTTTCACCACCATAGTTCCTTGTGCTTTTCCAGCCTCTGGTCATTCATGCTCAACAGATAAGTGATAGCCATAGCCATGACTGGAACATGGGCAGCTTTCCAGGGTGGCCAGATATAGCCCATTATCACCACAGCTACAGTGCATGGGCTCATTGAGAAGTTACTGGACACTTTATCAATGAGGAAGGCAGGCCTAGGGACACTGGCGCTGGGCTTCGTGCGAAGGAATGGAGGTGAAGATGACGTCTCCTGAGATAGCAGCAACTGCTTATCTGACACGTTTGTCAGGTGTCAATGCATGTCATCCGAGATGGAGACGAACTATAAATGCATAGCCTGAAAGATAGTAAATGATTTATAAGTGAGGAAGAGACCCATGAGAGATTCAGACTGGACAAAGGTCATGTAGGGAGGCCATGGCAGAGGTCATGTAGGGATATGATGGAGGAGGTCATGTGGAGAGACCATGGTGAAAGCTCTGATTTCCATAAAGCAAGAGAAAGTCCCCATGCCCTTTGCAAACTGCACTGGACTTCATGAGGAAAGAAAGGGTATTTGGAATTTGTCCTGTTTGATAAAACCTAGCATCACAGTTCAAAACCTCAGAGACTGTGCAACTTCCTCTTAAGTTGTCTCAAATGTGTGGGCTACAGTGGCCCTTGGGACAGGTTTAACCAGACAGATCTATGATTCCCAATGGCAAAAGGTTCAGGTGTGGGAGTGGTCAGCCAACAAGAAGCACCTAAACTTTCTACACCAGACAGAATGCCCTCCCCATGAGGGGAATGAGTGTGTCAGATGTGAGAATGACCAGGACTGAATATTGGATCCCCCACCCCTCAATATTCAGAGATCAGGGCAGTGAGGAGACTCAAATGGAGAGGACAGGCATGCTCAGTGAGGGCCAGCAATCCCAGGAGATTCATCTTTGGAAGGGCAGACAGTGCTTCAGAAAGGAAGGAGCTCAGGGCTGACAGATCAAGAAACAGCTGGAGTCCTGGGGGACAGATCTATCTCCCAGCTTAGCCTTCACAAGGCCCTAGTTGAATCTATAGTGCAGTTTCACTTGAAAAGGTGGTGGCTCACGCCTTTAATCCCAGCACTTGGGAGGCAGAGGCAGAGGCAAAGGCAGGCAGATCTCCGTAAGTTCAAGACTAGCCTGGTCTACAAGAGCTAGTTATAGGACAGCCTCCAAAGCCACAGAAAAACCCTGCCTAGAACCACCACCACCACCCCCATAAAAGGAAGGAAAATGAAAGAAGGAGACAACACAGAATGATACTGGCACAGATTTAGTCACTCGGGATCACTTGAGATCACTTGTTGGCTGTCAGGGAAAGCTTTGGTTGTGTGGTAGGTGGGAAAGCCCATGAGACCAGGGAAAGAGCAGGGAGAGACCAGAAACCACAGCAGTTCTTTTAAGACTTTTGTCATTAAGGGATCAAAAAACAAACAAACAACCATGAGGAACAAGCTAGGATTATAAAAAGAAGGCAGCCTCCTAGTCCCTGGAAATTTTCCCCCACCCCCTCCCCCACCCCCATCAGACATGGAAGAGTTGGCCTAAGCTCTGCATGTACCTCCTACCTTTCAACACCTCCACCCATCGGCCTCAGACACCTTCAGGGCCTGTTTTAACATTTCTCTGTAGCCTGATTGGCAGAAAGATAACCAGTACACATCAGGAATATACCCAGAAAATGCTCAAGTAGAGGGCCCTCTGGGATACCAGGAGGGAGATGGGAAGAAGATGAGCTCAGGGACTGCAGAGAATCGCAGACTACAGGACGGAGATGGTAGCTGTTTCACAGAGTATGGCCCTTCAAATGCCTACTCCCTCTGGTTGAAGTGGATGGAGAATCCTCAGAGGAGGGGAGGCAAGACACAATGCTCTCAGCCTTGGCTTCCCAAGAGGCAGACTTCCAGCCAGGGATTTCACTGCATAGTTTATTTCATGCCAAGATACACTAAATGGGGCTAAGATAAAGAAGAAAAAGAACAGCGAAAACCTGCGTGAACACACAAGTTACCTCAGTGAGCTGGGGGAGCCAGCGTGGAACACCCTGGTATTCCTCTTGAGGCAGGCAATGAGGGCTGCTGTTGGGATAGGTGTTCCCCTGGCAGTTTTAGATTGCCATGCTTGTTTGAAAAATCAGGTCCTAGCATCCAAAGGAGGCTCTCTGGCAAGGAGTTACTGGCAGACATGGTGGGCCGGCTTACACACACACACACACATACACACACACACACACACACACACACACACACACACACACAATAAATGGCGAGAGAGACCTACCTTGGAGGTATGGGAGAGACACTGGAGTCCCTGTGCTGCTTCCACTCCTTCCTGCTAGAGATTCCTCTAGGAGATGGCCGCTGGCAGTTACTACAAAGAAGACAAGCGGACTTCTGGAGAGCTGGTGCGGTGGTACACACTTGTAATCTCAGCATTTAGGAAGTAGAGGTGGAAGGATCAGGAGTTTAAGGCCAGCCTTGGCTGCATGAGACCCAGCCTTAAAACAAGAATGTTCTGGGACCTGGCTGCCATCCGCTGCTGTGTTGGTTGCCACCCGCTGCTGAGTTGCTTCTGAGCGCTTGGACCATTCCTGGTGTTCACTGTTGAACTTCTCTTCCTCATGCTGCTCATGGCAGCTGCTGCTCTGGAGAAATAGATAGCCTCTGTATGTACAGGCCTGAGCTCCCAGTCACTACTCTCTAGTTGGTTGACAGTTATTGCGTTGTCCAGAGTTGTCATCACTGACCAGGGAAACATCTAGATGAGCCCCACTGTGGCCTTTGAATTCTGAGCATTCTCTTCTCTGACTCTGTCATTCCACACCAACCAACCGATTTCCTCATGATGATAAGATCCCATTGTCAGCATAATGGGTGTAACCTAACAAAGTTAGGTTCTGTATTCCCCATACCCCCTCCCCCGAACACACACACCATGAGCTGTGCGGGGACATGGAGAATTCTAGGTCAAAGCCTAAGGAGTGGAACTCCTGCCGTGAGTGATGACAGGTCCACCTCTTCTCTGTCTCCATGCTTCTTCACAGTCCCAGCACCAGCTGTGACGTGCAAATCACATCTTCAACTTTATTAGAGCTGGAAAGCTAAAAGGTCACAGGAATCACGAGAATGCTTAAGCAAGCGCAACTGAAAAATGAAAACTATACAAGCTTAATACTA